ACCAGGCTATCTCTGGGGGCTTATCTAGGAGTAAGGGGGAAAGAGCCAGAATATCAGCCCCTAATTCTGGCCTTGCCATCTCTAGGTCTAGCTCCCAGTAGTCCTGTGTGATCCTGACTCCAAGGACACTTCTGCAGCTGTGCTTTCTAGGGGAGAGGAGGAAGGGAACTTTGCTTGTTGGGAGCTGAGCTGTTAGATGGAGTGTATGGATAAGGCCACCGGGCTGACTCCCATGGGACACCTTCTCTGACAGGCAGAGAGACAGCAGCACCACTGTAGGGGAGGATGTCTTGGCTGACTTTCTGCCTAGCTTGTGTTGTCCGTGATCTCTTTTCTTCTTGGAAAAACCTTCAGTATTTCTGCATTGGCGCCTGTCAGGTCATGCCAGAGACTGGGGGAAACGCGACAGTGGTTTACCATTTCCCAAACCCTTTCAGTGAAAAAGGGTCTAAGACAATTTACAAGTGACACTATGTAATTAAAGAAAAAAACAAAAAACCCTTCTACTCTTCTGTGTACTCTTCACATTTCTTTAGTGAACTCATTATTCCACAGCTGTAGGCATATGCTGGTTTTTTCTTCCTATTATACAACTGAGGCTAAAATTAACACATCTGTTGCTGTTTAACTTCAATTTATATGGTACCCTGTTTTGCCAAAACACTCTGTTTTGAGCAGCAACAGCTTTACTGCTATGTATCCATCAGAGTTCTGGGAATAATGCTTAAACATTATGTGCTACTTTTAATAGCTCTTACTGAAAGGGGGCTTGGTGCTTTTATTTTAGCTGGGGTGAGGGGAACAGGGGGCAAATAGGTGTCTGATGTGGAAGAATCCCTTTCTGTTACAGTATAGTATGGCACAGGAACAGATTTATGACTGATATTTCTGCCTGTGGCACAGTCCTTGGAGTAATGTGCCTTCCTGGAGCTCTTTTAAAGTAGAGGTGAAGCCCATGTTTTGGCCCTTCTGGTTGTGTAGTCGAACTTAACAAGTGGGATCTTGGGGCTTAGAGAAGCCAGTAGTATTATGACTTTAACCTAGTCTCTTGATTGAGCAAGGCTTGTTTATGAATGCCTGGAAATGCTAAAATGGCTATCCTTTTAAAGCAAGATTTTTTAATATATATATATATAAAATATAAAATTTTTCTCTTTAGCCTGAGACCATGACTGCAGTCCTCTACCAAAAAACCATACAACCATTGTGAAACGAAGGAAGTCGTACTCAAAAGTTCTACCTGTCTGCCTTGAAAGCAGGTTCCTGAGAATTGCTGGGAGGAGTAACAAGCATTTGATGTAGGAGGCAGAAGGTCTTTTTTAAAAAATCTTTTTATGTTTAAAATGTTTTGTACTGCACAGATCAGAAAATAAACACATCCTCACTAAAAGGAATAATTGTCAAGTTTACAATGTGTAAATTACCCTCAGCTAATGGAAGTGGGTTTTGCTAACCCTTTTTCCTGTGAACAAGGTTTCAAAGGCAGGTGGTGTTAAATTACAGGTGGACTGGATTGTGGGGGGCAAGCCCTTCTGATTTCACAGAAAAATAATTAAAGCAGAGCTGCTCTCTGTCTTTGATCTCAGAGGTGCTTGCAAGCTAAATAAAAATAAAGACTACCTTGGGACAGTGTGTGCTGTTAATTAACTAACTAAATTCTGCCTCCTGCATATGAAGCACTCTCCAGTGAGTTTCCAGTGGCTTTGGCACGCTGCGTTGTAACTGGAAGTTGCCAAACACAGCTTGGCAACTTCCAGCAACAGAAAAACCTTTTGATGGGCAGGGAGAGCTATAAAATTATCTGTGGAAGATGCAGTGTGACTCTTGCATAGTTGTGACTTCCAGGGTTTGATGCAACAGGACGGAAACAGACCGCTTCACATGCCTCTTATGAGGGGAAGAGGGATATTTTCTCTGGCTGATGACTTTCCTGCAGCTTTTTGTGGAATGGATTTGAAGGACTGGCCTCAAAGTCTTGCTCACATCTCCAGGTGAGGGCTGATGCTAGATTTCTGCTGGCTGTTTATGCCTTCATGGTACGTAGGATGCTGAAACCCTGACAACCGCCTTATGAGCAGCCCCTTCCAGCCAGAGGCTTTTGAGAGAGGGCTAGACTTGTGCACTGGTCAGGAATCAGCAGTGTTGAGGCCTTTGGATCTGTGCAGCTGAATTGGCCTTGGGGACCTTAACTGTTGCCCAACCATTATTATTTAGATGTCATGGCTACTGTGAGATTTCTTGGCTATTGTCCAACACACTTCATCCTCATGACAAACCCCCAAACATGTAACAGCTTCAAGCTTGCTGTTGGCCCCCTGAGATTTGTTCCCCCTCTCCGCTAAGCGTGGGCGCATTAGGTTAGATCGTGGGTCCATGTAGCCTGGTACCACATCAATAGGACAGGGATACTTCCCTTCCCCCTGCACTTCTCTGGTAAGCTGCAGCTTAAGGACTTGGTGCTCGGGTGCCTATCTTCCCGCTTGCATAGAGGTTGGGCTCTTGCCAAGAAAACAGCTTTTACATTTCCTTAAATATTCTGCTGCTGTTTGGGGGGAAAAAATAAATATCTGAATTGGTGTTATTACTAGAATTGGCCAGCTGACTAAGTGGGCTTTTTGTTTTTTTTCCCCCTTTTTCTTTTTTCATTAATAAATCACACCAGGTGCTGTTTTCCCGATGAAGTAATGAACATGTTCATTGAACATGTTTTCAGGCAAGGGAGGGGCAGAGTGAAGGTTTCTAGTTCAGGCAGTTGTTCAGAGATCATGGGGATGCACTTTGCAATTCACGTTTTGGCCTTTTTATCATGTTTCATCCTTGCTTCCTGGGCAGCAAAGTCATAGGAATTTGGGGAGTGCAGGGATGATAGCAAGGAGTTGGTTTTTGGGAGTGTTAGAGCTGCAGACTGGTGCCTTATTACCCTGGGAGTGTGTCCCGTTATTACCCTGGGAGTCTCCTTAGCCTGGGTCTCTGCCTGCGTGCATCCTGGCTGGGGTGGAAATTAGGAGCGTAGCTGCTTCAGGCTTCATCTGGGATCTTTTCCTTTTGGGAAGATGAGCAGCTGACTGCTGTGGGACCTTCAGCCCGTTCACTTCTCCCTTGAGCGGAGAGGGAGCAGACATCTCGGTGGGGAGGCTCGAGTGAGGTGCAAGTCCCCCGTAAATCACCAGGGACAGTTCATGACACTTCAGATTTACATAAGTCAGTTGCTTTAGCATCTCCTTTGATCCCACAGCAAATGGGTTCAGGAGATTAACCCTTAAAATGAGTAGATTTTTGCCCTTTTTGTTCTCCTCCCCAACTTACTGCGAGAGAGGAGGGGCTGCAGGAAGTATCGTGCCTGGCCGTAGCTTCTGCCCTGACCGTGGGGTGCTCATCCAGGCCATTCTCACCACTGAGGCCTAGGAGCGTATCTGGCTGAGGGTGTGCTTGATTTAGTGCCTAATGTGGTTGGGGGAAACATGAATAGTAGCTTCAGTCACAACAAATGCTTTAAGACAACCCTGAGCTTTTAAGTAATAGCTTCTAGGTACGGTTTTATTTCTGGCCTCTGGGTAGATAAATTGCGGTAACTTGTTTTTATTGGGAAAAGAGACCATGAAAACTCTGGCTTCGTTCTCCTTGTCCTCTAGAAACTTGAAACTTCTTGTTGTTGTTAGTGTTATGAGGAAGCCCCCACCCCTGCCCCAGTAGGCTTATTGTGATCTTAAGGCATTGAAATGATTAAATTGTGATCCTGCTTGTGTTTAAATCGTGCTGAAAGATTTGACGCTTCAGAGAAGTTCTCTTCAGTGAGTTGTTGTCAGAGTTATATTGAATTCCTTTATCCTGTTTCTCTGATTTCTGTTTGAATGGGGGAGAAAAGGGGTATTTCTTCTTTACCATGCTTAAGAATAGCCTAGGGTGAGAGGAGTAGTGTTTAGGGAGACTCTTCCTCTATTAGCATTCCTGTAGCAATATTCCCAGGACGTTTCACATTGACTGAAGTCTTTTTTTCTTTTTCTTTTTTTTTAAACACCAAAGATAAGATAAAATGTTATAGTGTCTGTAATGAATCTCCAGTAAAAATATTTGTGTCTTTATTTTCCTTGGTATTGGATATCAGTGATCAACAGCTGATCTCCAAATAGTGAATTCAGTGTTTAGTGGTGCTAGCCTTTACTTGCAAGCTATTAATAATTGGCTGCTGCCTATGGATGCTATGTCTGGATTTTTCAGAACATTTCCACTCCTTCCCCTCTCCGCTACGTGTTGGCTAGGCAGAAGTTGAGGACTTTGGAGAATTGCTCGCTGTTACGTGGATGCCTCGTAGCCTTGTCAGAATACTATTACTCTTTCTATCCCCTGGATGTCTGCAGTCTGTATTGGGTTTTTTTTGTTTGTTTGTTTGTTTGTTTTTCCTAGCTTTATCAGTCTGCATATTTTCAGTGTGAAACTTGCTTTTTGCTCCCACTTCTGGAATCTTTAGGTCCCTCTGAATTTGTCCCCACTGGTTTGTTAGATTTGTCTTAGTTTAGCAATCTGTTGCTCATGCAACCTCAAAAGGGAAATAGAACTAGGCCTAATTCAGATCATTGTGGCAACTCATCTGCATAGACGTTTTGGGAATGATCAGTACTTGCGGCTAGTTTTCAGAAGGAAACACCAATCCATTCAGGCCAAAATCCCGCAGGAGCGTGGCATAGTGGGAGAAGAACAGCTACTTAGCATGAGAAAACAGGGCCTGTGCAGCTGCTAATCTAATCTTGTTTCTTATTTCTCAGCTGACAAGGAGCCAGTTTTGATTTGTTCAGCTATGGATTGAGATGCAGCCTGTCTGACATGCTGACAAGTTCAAAAGTGGAAAAGGCTGAACAAAATATTATAGGCTCTGCAGTGTTATCTTTATGAAGTATCCAATGCAGAATTTGTATGCAGTAGCCAGGCTCTGTTTTATGTCTTTTTTTTTTTTTTTCCCCCCAGGTGTGGAAGAGAAAATAATTCTTTCAAAAAAAGAAAAAATGAAGCTGAAGAAAGAAAGATGGCTACAGAGTAAGTACTCCAAAAAATAGCTGTATCATGTGACTCTATTGGATTTCTCTGTAAATGAGATGTGTTCTGTGGGTGGAAGTATCAGACAGTGTCAGAAGAAGGGCTATCAGCCGTGGAGGCTGAGTGCTTCTCAGAAACCTTCAAGTCTGCTCACTGTTACATGAGACGGAAGCCTCAGGTATTGCCCCTCTTTCCAGAGGGCATTTAACACTGAGATTGAGTCTTTGCCTCAAAGCTATTTTTGGTCTTCCTTCATGTGTGATATAAGGGATTACATAAAGCCATTTACATAGCCTCCAGGTAAAACACTGTGCCGCTATAGGGTTTAAGCTTGTTGCTCTATACTGTTAAGGATGTGGTACAGATGCTACTAGCTGTACAGTCGCACCATGGGCTGGGTGGCTCCTGAGGAGCGATGTGGAGGGCAGAACAGCCTGAAGCCAAGCCCTACATACACAGCCACCAGTTAATCCCCAATCTTTGTGAACAGTGGTGGAAGTCGGCAGTGGGGCCTTGTGCCCCTTGATAAGCAAAGTCTCTGGGGAGTAGTAGTTGTGCTACTGCTCTTTCCCATACGCCACAGGTCAGTGAACCCACCTACCAGACAGTTTTGCCTTTCTAGAGGCTGTGAAATAAGAGCCAAACAAAACCAGGCCGTGGCAAAAGTGCTCCTGTTTCCTGTGGGAAGTGTGTCTGTATTTTTGTTTCAAATATCTCAATACAGTGAGACTTTCAGCTGTGGTACTCTGAGGTACTCTGCCTTCTTATTGGTTATGTGCTACCTGTCCTAATGTACTGAATCACTTAAAAGCTCAGGCCTTACCTTTGTTGCACAGCTGTGCATCTGGCACCTGGTCGTGAGTGCCAGTGGGAGCAGGGAGTTGCAGGTGAGGGATGGGGGGGGCCTCATTCTGTAAAACTTGAGGTGGTCTTGTTTGGGGACCCTTCCAGAGGGCAAGTGAGATGGCTTTGCCTTCCTTTTCAAGTGAAGGAGGGAACACGGTAGCTTCTCTCTGACTAGTATCTCTATGCTTTCGGCAGAAGGAGCTTTAGAGCATCAACTCCTGAGGCTCTGCTTTGGTATATGTGAGGTATAGCAGGAAGATTCCTCTTACCACCTGGAGTTGTTCTTGGGGCAGGCTTTTCCCTTAACACCTTTCTGCCCAGCAGAATTGTTGACAGACTGTGTTAGGGGTTGAGTGATGTGTCTTTCTGCTGCACCGTATGTTTTCTGCTCCTGAGTTCTCACTGCTCTCTAAGCTTGAGTCCATCAGCCTGTGATTTCACCAGTCACAGTTAAGGTGTCTCCGGGCTTCACTTGCATAAAAAGGTGGTAATTTAACACAATGAGCGCTAAGAAAACTTCTTTTCCCTCACCAAACAAGAACTCCCAAGTTCCTTTTACATCTGCAAGCCTCAGTTGAGCACGACAGCGTGACAGTTCTGACATCTAGCCTGCTGGTTGCAATTTCATTGCTCCTAAAGCGCTCTCCCTGTGTGTGTGTATCTGATAGTATTGTGGGAATATAGAAAGGGTCTGCTGGAGCACAACTGAGCTTTCCCTAGACTGATATCCTATCTCTGACCATGACTAGTAGCAGATGCTGTAGAGGAAGGTAAGTTCTCAGCAGCGTCTTAATGACAGTGAATTCACAGAAAAGGGATACAACGGAGGACAAGCTCCTGGACTTTGGTGACGCTACTGCTCTCGTATTCGAGGTCAGCCATCTTGAAGATGGGGAAAGTCCAGAAGCAGGCTCTCATGCGCTCTCAATCCTGCCCTCCTGCATGTATGTCTTTACAGCAGCAATCTTCCTCAAGATCACCTATGTTTTTTTGGCCCTGGTATGGGCTCCTTTCCCCTCTCTTGGCTTTAAAATCACTAAGCTGAGTGAATAGAAATGAAACGCATAGGCTTTGCTTTGGGGAGAACCTCAAGATAGAAAATTTCATCCCAAATTATCTGTCTGAGAAGATACTAGATATTGGAAGTACTTTTCAGATGTGGAAGTAGCCAATTGCTGGCCCTCTTTACACCCCCACTAAACTTGCAGGCGGCGGGCAACTATCAGCATTCTCTCAGTAAATGCTGTTCTAGGGCTAGCCAAGTCCCCTAAGACTTCCGTAACAAGGGTCAGCAAGTGTTGGTACCAAGTGTGCAGCTTTTTATCGAGACAAAAACTGAATAGCTGGAAAGAGCCTATATACATATCAATAAAGAAATTGATATTATTATTATTAGCTGTTGGAGCCAAATGAACTTGTATTTCCCAAGATGGTGGTTTTTCAGTGACACCAAGCACTTTGGCACTGTGATAACTGACCTCAAAAGAGCTGCAGTCAACTACAACTGAAGCTTTTTGATTTTGTCTAGTGCAGATAACTTCTCTTTCTTTGTAGATTTTGCAATATTTGATTGGCCCTCTCCCCTCACCCCCAAAAAGAGAACCCAACTTTGCTGAAGTTGTTATATTTAAAACTCTGTTTTCCTAAATCTTCCCAAGAGTTTGTTGTTTCTTGTTATCCCAGGCCTGCTTTTTTGACATTGGATGCCAAGACCCTGGGAACTAAAGTTCAGCCCAGTAGTGCAAATGCAAAACTTGGAGATTTCTTCCATTCCAATAAATCATCTCAGGAAAGACTAGAGAGGGAAAAAAATTATGCAATGCTTTAGACATTAGAAGTATGCACATTTAAAAATATATATATCGTATGGCTCCTAGGATGAGGAAGACTTCATAGGAAAAGAATTTGGGATGTTTGCTCAGAATCAGGTGTCTGAAAATTTTGAGCACATAATGTTTATGAAAGCTCTAAAGTCGCCAGCTTCATAAAGCCAGACCAAAAAAAGAAGTGATGCAGAACAGAAAGCTGTGTTCTTGGCAGAGATTCCTGTAAGGAGAAGCATTTACAATCTCGATTTGTCACAAACATCCATGTACAGCAAAAATTGCAGTTCATCAAGAACTGTTGCTGTTTGACTCAAACAGCTTAGCTGGGGAGTCAACAAGACAAAAAATATTAAGAGAGCACCAAGCTATCCAATGAATTTGAATTCCGCTTTCTTGAATGGAGCGCCAGGATTAGACCCAGGATTCCAGGTGGCATCTTGTCTGTGGTCTGTCGAGTGGGACTGACTGTTTTCTTGTTTCCACCAAAAATACTTTTGCTGATTACAGTCCTGCTTTTGTGGCCACGTTGCATCGACAGCCGTAGTCCTTCCTGTGTTGACTAGCTTGGCCACGTGATTGTTGTCCTTGTGCTCCATAATGTCCAGATGAGGAGTTCCCAGCTTAGAGCTTGAAGCTCTGAGCTTCCTTGAAATGCATTCATATGGTGTTTGCCTGGTTGAGGGGTTGATGGCCACGGTAAAGGAAGCACAGTGCTGACGAACTGGCTGGTCTTGATCAGAAGGGTCTGATTTTTCTCCGAAGAGCACTGGGTATGTTTGTTTAAGGCTGTAAGCAGAGGCCTGCTCTTCTGCTGTGGCCTTAACTGGATGCACTGTGGGAGAAGTAGTTCTCCATCATGTCCCCCACTGTACTGGCACCCCTGATGGTATCAAGGCAATGTAGCTGGTTTCCAGGCCCGGTGATGATCTGGCAGAAGAAAAGGGAACATGCTGACCATGCAGAGCTCCAACTGTTTCTGGTGGCATTATCTTGGGACAGATTGGTGCATCCTGGAAGTCAGCTGGAGGCTCGTAGCAGACTCCTGTGCTGTGTTGCTGTGAGCAATGAATAGTCTTGCATGCCATGGTGCAAGGGGTGAAAACAGTTCAGACAAAATGATCCTGGGAATTCCATTTCCTATTGCAAATGCTGATAGAGATGTGTCCAGTTATAGGCAAACAAAGGAGGGGGGAATACCCAGCTGTATTGTTTTCAGTCTTTCCCTGTTTTAAATGACTGCTCATCTGTTGTGCGTGTAAAGAGTGAAGCAGATCGTAAATTTCTTAGATCAAGGGGTATCTCTTGAAAACACTTTCCCTTCCCCCACTAATGTCTTGTTTCTGACTCAGAAATAGAAAGTGTGAAGCTAGCCAAGCAGAAGCAAAAAGCTGAAGCAAAGCGGAAAGCAACACCTGTGGTCGGAGACATGCAGCCACTGATGGAAGCCCTACCTGAGCTCTTTGACTTGACCACAGGTGGCAGGGACAGGAAGCCACCCAAGAGGTACGTGTCGTTTGGGGATGGACCGCTTATTTTCCTTTTTCATACAGGATAAAATGTCCTGCAGCTCAGTTTGTAGCTAACAAGCAATGAAAGCTTGGTGCCAACAGTCAGGAGAACGGGGCCTCATTCTCAGCTGCATTTCACCCCTTTCCGTGTTTCACTGGCCACAAGAAAAAGCCTAAATGTGCTCTGTGAATCTCCAGTTAAGTTGCATCTGAGGCAACCCGTTCCCCTCTTAGCAGCAGACAGATCGGGAGCAACGAACCCTCCTGGGAGCTGTAGGATTGGCACACAACTGTCCAGCGTGCATTACTGCTGTACTCACCTGAGAATCTGCGCTTGAGGTGTGTTTTATAATGAAAGCTGTCCTGGGTGTCACTGTCAGCGAGCAAAACAAGACAAAATAAGAGAAATCCTTTCTCTTCTAGCAGGTCATATCTGTAGCGTCCAAAGGGAACTAAGGAAGTCATTCTTGTTTTGCAAGCGGGAAAACAGAGGGCTGATGGCTTACCTATATTCACACAGCCATGATGCAACAGAGGGGAGTGGATCTGGAGAGACAGGTTTCAGAAGCAGTGCTGCCTGCTAGGATTTTTTGCTCCCTTCCCACATGGGCCTCGGGCTACATTGCAGCCTGCTGTTGTGTCCTTCCAAACCTTCAGGCTTTCTCCTGAGGGAGTTTGAAACCTTTGAGCACAGCTTTCTTCTTTGGCCAGACTCTTTGGTTGCCCTGTTGGCTTGGAATGTGACTTTGGACAAGAGCAGAAAGATGGTATTTCCTTTCTATTTATTGTGCTGAAAGAGAAAGGCCATTTTGACTTGCCAGGAGCCTGCTAGATACATAACCATGTATTTTCTCCTTTACAGTTGCCAGTTAAGTTGTTTGGAAAATGGACTGGGTTTGCTCCCTTTGCTGTCTCTGCACTACTCTGTAATCTGTATTCCCATGCCTCTGATCCTCTGAAACCCACACTTCAACCGTCCCTGCCAGCCCTAGGGTGGGTTCTGATCTGACCTGGTGCTTTTACCTTTTAAACGCAGGGCTTGCCTGGCTGTCTGGTCAGTATTGCAGCTACTTTTTCATCTCCCAGTGCAGAATAAAAGAGCTCTGCATGTTGCATAAACGCTTGTCCCTCATCTCCAGTTGCTCTGAAGGGATTGGAACTAGAAACTTGTTTTGACTGTAATAAGCAGGCATTTGGATTAGAGAACAGCCAAGTATAAGGCTGTCTGGCAAAGCAGCCTGTTCTTTGGTTGCAGAGCTAGGCTGAAGATACCATGAACTCTCTTGTGGCTTGCTGGACACCCCAGAAATAAACTCTGACCCAGGTGTGATGCCCACCTATAGAGTCTGGCTGAGTTGGCAGTTTCTTGTGCTTTTGGAGATCCACCCCTCAGACAAACAGCAGCTATGTACCTAGCTTGCATCTAAGCATGGGAAAATATTTCCTTCTTTAACTTGGCTTCTAATTCTTTGAATTCTTTTTCTTTTTCTTTTTTTTTCTTTTATGCAGCCATTTACTAAGTCTGCCTTCCCTTTCAGTGGGAATGGGCAGCAAAAGTACATAGTTTCAAGTCTTCTAGAGCACTTGAGGTTTGGTTGGATGGAGCTCTGTGGCCTGTCTTAGCCTAAGGATAAGTAGGTGTTTTTGTCCCCTTTGAGTGGTGATGTGCCACAACAACATGTGGTACCTGACTCCAGAGTGTGTTCAGGAGCTGTTCCCCCTCATAATCTTCCCCCATCTCCCTTGGAGGCCGACTCCCTACTATCCAGGAGAATGGCTTGCAGAAGG